AGGATTAAAGATACATTAATCTAACTGTCAAAGACGGTTCTCACACTATGCTCATACTTTACTACTACCTAAGCCACTTCCTACATCATGGGCCTGTTTTCATCACTTTCCATAGCATTTTAGTATTTTAGATACGTTAATCTAATTGCCACAAACATTCCCCACACTCCGCACTGCTAGCATTTACTACGTCATTCACCATTTTCTATGTCGTGGGGATGCTTCCATCCCTTCTTATAGCATTTCAGCATTGCAGATACATTAATCTAACTGCTACAAACGGTTTCCACTTCCCATACACTCCACAATGCTCACCTTACTACTTCCTTCACCTCTTCTTACGTCGCGGACCTGTTTCCCTCACTTCCCATAGAATTTTAAGATTAGATACCTTTATCTAATCGTCATAAACAGTGCCCACACTCCGGACAGCTCGCCTTGACTACTTCCTTCACCACTTCCTACGTCTCGGACCTGTTTCCCTCCCTTCCCATAGCATTTTAGGATTGAAAATACCTTAATCTAATGGTCATAAACAGATCACATAATCCGAACAGGTCGCCTTTACTACTCTTCCTTCACCACTTCCTACGTCGCGGACCTGTTTCCTTCCCTTCCAATAGCATTTTAGGATTGCAGATATCTTAATCTAATCGTCATAAACAGTTCCTACACTCCAGACTGCTCGCATTTACTACTCTTCCTTCACCACTTCCTACGTCGCGGACCTGTTTTCTTCCCTTCCAATAGCATTTTTGGATTGCAGATACCTTAATCTAATCGTCATAAACAGTGCCCACACTCCGGACAGCTCGCCTTGACTATAGGTCGGCCGCTTAGAAATCGACCTCCTCCAGCATTGGTTTAGCATTAGCGCGCAGGTCGTTTTTCTAAGCGGCCGAACTATACTTCCTTCACCACTTCCTACGTCTCAGACCTGTTTCCCTCCCTCCCCATAGCATTTTAGGATTGCAGATCCCTTAATCTAATCGTCATAAACAGTTCCCACTCTCCGGACTGTTTGCTTTTACTACTTCCTTCACCACTCCCTACGTCGTGGACCTGTTTCCCTTCCTTCCCATAGCATTTTAGGATTGTAGATAACTTAATGTAATAATCGTTGATAGTTCCCACACTCCGGACAGCACGCCATTACTACTTCTCTCGCCACTTCCTATGTCACCGACCTGTTTCCCTCCCTCCCCATAGCATTTTAGGATTGCAGATCCCTTAATCTAATCGTCGTAAACAGTTCCCACACTCCGGACTGCTCGCATTTACTACTTCCTTCACTACTTCCTACGTCACGGACCTGTTTACCTCCCTTCCCTTAGCATTATTGGTTTGCAGATACCTTAATCTAATCGTCATAAACAGTTCCAACACTCCGGACAGCTCGTCTTGACTACTTCCTTCACCACTTCCTACGTCGCGGACCTGTTTTCCTCCATTCCCATAGCATTTTAGGATTGCAGATACCTTAATGTAATCGTTACAAACAGTTCCCACAGTCCGGACTGCTTGCCTTTACTTCGTCCTTCACCACTTCCTACGTCACGGACCTTTTTCCCTCCCTTCCCATAGCATCATAGGATTGCAAATACCTTAATCTAATGGTCATAAACAGATCACATGATCCGAACAGGTCGCCTTCACTCCACTTCCTTCACCACTTCCTACGTCGCGGACCTGTTTCCTTCCCTTCCAATAGCATTTTAGGATTGCAGATACCTTAATCTAATCGTCATAAACAGTTCCCACACTCCGGAATGCTCGCATTTACTACTTCCTTCACTACTTCCTACGTCACGGACCTGTTTACCTCCCTTCCCTTAGCATTATTGGATTGCAAATACCTTTATCTAATGGTCATAAACAGATCCCATACCCCGAACAGCTCGCCTTTACTACTCTTCCTTCACCACTTCCTACGTCGCGGACCTGTTTCCTTCCCTTCCAATAGCATTTTAGGATTGCAGATACCTTAATCTAATCGTCATAAACAGTTCACACACTCCAGACAGCTCGCCTTGACTACTTCCTTCACCACTTCCTACATCGCGGACCTGTTTTCCTCCCTTCCCATAGCATTTTCACACTCGGGACAGGTCGTCTTGACTACTTCCTTCACCACTTCCTACGTCGCGGACCTGTTTTCCTCCCTTTCCATAGCATTTTAGGATTGCAGATACCTTAATGTAATCGTCATAAGCAGTTCCCACACTCCGGACAGCTCGCCTTGACTACTTCCTTCACCACTTCCTACGTCGCAGACCCGTTTTCCTCCCTTCTCATAGAATTTTAGGAATGAAGATACCTAAATCTAATCGTCATAAAAAGGTTCCACACTTCTGACTGCTCACCTTTACTACTTCCTTCACCACTTCCTACGTCACGGACCTCAAGCTAGTGTCGTCATTTGATTATATTTATGATCCATACCGTTTCTGTTCTAATATCTGTGGAATAATGCTATCAGCTATTTCTTTATCTCCTGCATTCAAAAGTCAACAGCTGATCATATGTCTTTGTTTATGTGTCAAATACTGCTTCCATAAGGATTAGGCCTACATTGAAACTTTGAGACCCAGTGGGGCGGATTCCTGAGGGACTTTTTTAACGCCATATAGATGTTGGCACTCCCCGATATGGTGTTTATCACCATGCAAAATTTGAAAACGATTGATTCAGCCGTCTAGGAGGAGTTTGCGTATTACGAAATGCATAAGAGTCGACGTATAAGAGCTTCGCTCGCTTCGCTCGCTCCGCTCAAAAAAATAAAGTTAAAGTAATAAATTACAGTTGAATAGTCTGCTTGGCAACCTAGAAACATGAAACCTTTCCTGTCTGAGGAAGACATAGAAAAGTACAAGAATGTATATAATTTTATTTTAAACTGCAACTTTTGGTATTTTATGTTAAGTTATGAGATATTTGGTACACACTATGAGTTGCACCTTGTATCAAACGTTAATTCAGGCCAATCTGTTAGGCCAAAGTAAATTTTATTAATACTTTTACTTGTTCAGATTCTGTATAGTTCTAGATATCTGTCCTTTTACTCACGATTTTTGGGGTCGTACTTTTTCCATTCAAAGAATACATTTTCGACGATATGAATGTTGTTAAATCCATAAGAAAGTGAACGAAAATTTCACCTTCTCACTCAAATAATGAAATATTAATTAAAGTAAAGATGCAGGACTAGAAGTTTGTACACCCTAAATGCATCTTATTCATTGATTAATGAGTTTATATGCTCTTAGAATTTTACACTTCTTCGCTTATACAAAGCTAGGTTTATAAAATATATTTTTTGTTGTACAATAGGCCTACATCATTTTTAATATTTATACACAAAAGAAAGACATTTTTTTAATACCAGTATATTACATAACTCTTCAAAGAAAGGTATGGATCTAAATTATAAGTTTGTGTGGCTTGCGATTCTGATACATGTGGTACTTTTGAAAGTAATTTAGAAACATATACATAAGGTAAAACTTAATTCATAAGCTGCGTAACACAGTTGCCACTTTAACAAAAACATTAGACTTGTTGAAACTTCCAACATGGGTGTTCAATTCATTTAAATCACTCCATCTAAAATACAATGCAGCAACCTATTAAAATGTATCTTTCACATTTCTTAAGTGTTATTTAATAACACTTATAGATGGTTACGAATTTAAACCTACTAGGATCTGTTATGCAAAGCTGTAATAATTTGAGCTCGCAAAACTAAAAGTGTCTTCCAAGTTTTATAACCGTGAAAAGTTTTCTACTCGTAAAAGTTAATAGTTGTTTGAAAAGCTTACATATGTGGGCCATTAACCTCAAGGCAGCTATTATGCATGGTTGTGCTACACAACTAAGACTTAAATATATTGCCAATTATAAATAAATATACTATAGTAACTAGTCTACGTATTGATGAATTGTTAACATTAAATTGAAACCCTTATTTAAATGCTATATGCAATCATCATGGGAACTACCTCTGATTTTTTAATTATTAACCTCAGACCGTTTTTTTAAAGTAGCTGTTTCATTTCAGTTTTTAGAATTAAAAAGTTTCACACAACAGCAATGTTTACTTTCATAACAACATATTTTTAGTCATAACAACATAGTTTTACTCATAACAACACGGTAAACGGACCAATGTGGTTCAAGAATTGAGAGAGAATAAGTAAAATTGATTCGATTTGAACTTCGACTAATCAGCTGTTCAGACCAATTTAATTGTCAATTTACTCATAAAATTATGATCTTTAAAAATGTTAGCGTAGTGATATTCGTATCCTTGTTGTTTTTTTAGTTATTTTAAATTGAAGCTAAGATCTTCAATTTACAAGCTGTTTTTTTAAGTAACTTAAATTACAAGTTCCAAGAGTCAGCTATGTTTCATTGATTTTCAAAATACACTCCCTATCCTTTAATTTATTTATATTTGCAGTGTGAGCTGCACCGACTTGAAATACGTGAGCTTGACTATTACAAAAGTTTACTTTATTAAAATTATTTAGTTTTTTTTAGAGCGTTTAAAGTCGGTTTTTTTACAAAAAATTCTTATTCAACGCTTTTTAGTAACTGTTTAATTTGTTATATTATATTAATTGAGCGGAGTGAAGCGAAGCCCTTTGGGATCAACTTCAATGCAAACTTTCTAACACATAAACTCAATAACAGCTGAATATATTTTATTCAAACTTATTACGGTTGTTTTATCAAATGTTTGGATGGTTTAGACTAACATTACGAGTACGATGATTAATGACACACTTGTGTATGAAACACTTGCGCAAAAATGCTGCTGGCTCACTTTAACAGTGGAACGTTTCACTATGCATCTCGCGATGTTTCGTGTTGTTTTGTGTGTGTTGCTGACGTGTTTTGTTCTAGTTACGTCTAACAAAGAAGAATACGAGACTTACACCAATCCTACACCTATTGTTTTGTGGCATGGTATTTATGATACCGCTCGATCAAAAGAAAACATGGAAAGTATTATTCGATGTATAAGAGCTGAAATACCAGATGCCCACATCCATTCTTTGGTGGTCGGTTCGTGTCCTTTTACGGAAAAGATGAATTCGCTGTTTATGGATGTGAACAAACAAGTAAAGCTAGCTTGCAGGATGATCCTCGATGACAAGAAATTAGAAAATGGCTACCACGGCTTGGGGATCTCGCAGGGAGGGCAGTTTTTGAGAGCAGTAGCACAAAGATGTCCTCACCCTCCTATGTTTAACCTAATAACCTTAGGATCACAACACCAAGGATATTATGGTGTAGGGCAAATCAAGTATCATGATATGGCGTTATACCTTGCGAAACACATCTCATACTGGGGTATCATTCGGAGCAACACTGTAGTTGCGCAAAACTGGCACGACCCGATTGACTACAAGACTTACGCCAAGAAGAACACGTTTATCGCAGACATTAACAATGAGAAGAAGGAAAAGAAGGAGAAGTACAAGACGCATTTACTGCGGCTTAAAAACTTGGTGCTTGTCAAGTTTACACGCGATGAAAGAGTGGTACCACCAGACTCTTCTTGGTTTGGATTTTACACTAATGGGCAAGATAAGGAGATAACACAAATGAGAGAATCGCAACTTTACAAAGAGGACTGGATAGGTTTGAAAGAGTTGGATGAAAAAGGAAGACTTCACTTACTTGAAACTGATAATGTGCATCTTCGGTATTCGAGAGAATGGTTTATAGATAACGTAGTGACACCATGGTTGACTCCGACCTACTGGAAGAAAGAAGAAGAGGAGAACCCCCAGAGTTGAAATGCTATCAGTGACAAGCAAGTATATGAACATTGAATAATATACTTCTTCTTGTGAATACAAAGTCTATGTCATTTTACAAAAAAAGGCTTTATGTAAAATAAGCCGATTAACCCTTTAAACACGTTAATCTGTAAGTAACAAACCTTATTCAAATTACTTAAACAACTTTGAGAATGTTGTCGTGTGTATCAACTCAATTAATCAATTTACGAGTATTTCAATTTATTTTTTTACGGAGAGTAAATAAAAGATAGGTCTTATAACACTTAAAACATATATTTACTATTATACTGTTACTCACAAAACGGTAAATAAAAAAGAAATGGTAAGTGGTGATCGATTTTGGTGATTGTTCTTTTATTTACTTTCTGTAAATTTAATAACACGTACCATGCTGATCAAGAAGTCATTTATTTATTTTAGAAATACAACATTACATACATTATGTATAACAAACATTCCAAAATTTGTTGAACAGTTAACTGAACAGATCAGATAAAGTGAACGAAATACAATATTCAGATTTATCTCGGATCAAACTCAGAGCATTTGGAGACATCCATTGTATTTTCTTTTCTTTTTAAAATATTCTCTAATAAACCAATTCATTATTCCTTTTGTAATATATATCTTCGTGTTGTACGATTTGTCGTCCATTATAAGAGAAATAACAAAATGGTATAAACCAGCTAACACCTCTATACAAGGCAATTTTCTTTACTTTAGTTTATAATTCTCAAAAGTTATGTCAATTTCTTAGTATAAAATATCCAAATTAAACTGTATATTTGGCCCCTGTATCTCATTGGAGGTAAACATGTTTGTGTTATGGTTTGCTTGGTCATCTGTATACACTTCTCTTGATTGGAATTATTGATTGAAGTAGCCTGAACTGTTTCATCCATGCATTCCTAAATCTAACCAGATATTTTCTAAACAAATTTTGTTTCAAACAAGCATCGATAGAGACTGGTTTTTAGTGATATTTAATTTCATATGTAAATACATTTATCTGGTATTTTGTTAAAAAATTGATTTCATAAACAGCTTGAAATGCTGTCAAGAGTACAGCAACCTCAAAATACACAACTAACAAATATTTCATAAATATTATGAACAAGTTATGATTAAAATTAATTCGAATATACAATGCACGTTTAAGATCAGCAAACAGTAGGCCCAATTCACACTGAACGGACGTCGGGCGGAGACGTGGCACGGACGAGGTACAGACGTGGCAGTGACGTGGCGTGTTGAATGCACACCGAAGGGACGGTGACGGTACGGTACAGTGGCGAGACAACCTGTATGTAGACTAGACGCTTTGGTTTTTGCTTATTTCTATTAATCTCGATGGTGTTAGTTAATTTCTGTCAACTTAATTAGTACAAACAAGGGAATTGTTCTACTTCCTCTCAAAATTTGATATTAATTTCAATGTCGTCTCGCATAGTGAAGAAACAACTCACAATCTACACACAAAAACAACTCTACACAACAAGGTTGAAAAGTACAAGCACACTATACACAAGAAGGTTGATAAGTACAGTACAATATTTGCAGTCCGAACAACGGGCGCGCTACGGACATGCCACTTCCGATACGCCACGAGGGACGCCGAAGCGACGTGGCGGTGGCGGGAGGGCGGCCGCCCGCGCCACGTCACTTGTGTGTGCATTGACCAATTTCTTTACATGGGGAGGCGAGGAACGGACATATAATGTCCTTGCCACGTCCATGCCACGTCTCTGCCCGACGTCCGTTCGGTGTGAATATGTCGGAGCCAACCATTTTGTCACTATTTTTTGTTTAAACCACCTACTCGTAAACTCAAGATGCCTACCAGCTTTTTCAAGTAAGCGAAGTCTTCCTTTTTCATCCAACTCTTTCAAACCTATCCAGTCCTCTTTGTAAAGTTGCGATTCTCTCATTTGTGTTATCTCCTTATCTTGCCCATTAGTGTAAAACACAAACCAAGAAGAGTCTGGTGGAACCACTCTTTCATCACGTGTAAACTTGAAAAGCACCAAGTTTTAAGCCGCAGTAGATGCGTCTTGTACTTCTCCTCCTTTTTCTTCTTCTCATTGTTAATATCTGCGATAAACGTGTTCTTCTTGGCGTAAGTCTCGTAGTTAATCGGGTTGTGCCAGTTTTGCGTAACTACAGTGTTGCTCCGAATGATAACCCAGTATGAGATATGTTTTGCAACGCCTTATCATGATACTTGATTTGCCCTACACCATAATATCCTTGGTGTTGTGATCTATGGCCCAATTCACACCGAACGGACGGCGGGCGGAGACGTGGCACGGACGAGGTACAGACGTGGCAGTGACGTGGCGTGTTCAATGCACACCGAAGGGACGGTGAAGGGACGGTAGAGTGGCGAGACAACCTGTATGTAGACTAGACGCTTTGGTTTTTGCTTATTTCTATTAATGTCAATGGTGTTAGTTAATTTCTGTCAACTTAATTAGTACAAACAAGGGAATGGTTCTACTTCCTCACAAAATTTGATATTAAATTCAATGTCGTCTCACATATTGAAGAAACAACTCACAATCTACACACAAAAACAACTCTACACAACAAGGTTGGTAAGTACAAGCACACTATACACAAGAAGTTTGGTAAGTATAGTACAATATTTGCAGTCCGAACAACGGGCGCGCTACGGACATGCCACTTCCGATACGCCACGAGGGACGACGAAGCGACGTGGCGGTGGCGGGAGGGCGGCCGCCCGCGCCACGTCACTTGTGTGTGCATTGACCAATTTGTTTACATGGGGAGGCGAGGAACGGACATATGTCCTCGCCACGTCCGTTCAACGTCTCCGCCCGACGTCCGTTCGGTGTGAATTGGGCCTAATGTTATTAGGTTAAACATAGGAGGGCGAGGACATCTTTGTGCTACTGCTCTCAAAAACTGCCCTACCTGCGAGATCCCTATAAGCCATTTTCTAATTTCTTGTCATCGAGGATCATCCTGCAAGCTAGCTTTACTTGTTTGTTCACATCCATAAACAGCGAATTCATCTTTTCCGTAAAAGGACACGAACTGATCACCAAAGAAGGATGTGGGCATTTGTTATTTCAGCTCTTATATATCCAATAATACTTTCCATGTTTTCTTTTGATCGAGCGGTATCATAAATACCATGCCACAAAACAATAGGTGTAGGATTGGTGTAAGTCTCGTATTCTTCTTTGTTAGACGTAACTAGAACAAAACACGTCAGCAACACATACAAAACAACACGAAACATCGCGAGATGCTTAGTGAAACGTTCGACAGATAGTGAGACAGAATAGTGACAGAAGTGAGCTAGCGGCATTTTTGCGCAAGTGTTTCATACACAAGTGTGTAATTAATCATCGTACTCGTAATGTTAGTCTAAACCATCCAAACATTTGATAAAACAACCGCAGTAAGTTTGAATAAAATATATTCAGCTGTTATTGAGTTTATGTGTTAGAAAGTTTGCATTGAAGTTGATCCCAAAGAGCTTCGCTTCGCTCCGCTCAATTAATATACTATAACAAATTAAACAGTTACTAAAAAGCATTAAATAGTAATTTTCCGTAAAAAAAACCTACTTCAAACGCTCTAAAAAGAACGAAATAATGTTAATAAAGTAAACTTTTGTAATAGTCAAGCTCACGTATTTCAAGTCGCCGCGGCTCTCACTGCAAATATAAATAAATTAAAGGATAGGGAGTGTATTTTGAAAATCAATGAAACATAGCTGGATAACATAAATATATAAAAAACATATTCACTGTTTTTTTTTTTATTATAGGAAGTATGTACTTGCATTTTATGTTTACTTCAGAATAAATAGATTATGAAACTAACATGCAAAAATTTCGATATGAAAATAAAATACCCCGCCGCAGCAAACCTGCAGACTAAGTGAATTTCTATTAACCTGGCTGGATTTCTACTAAAATATACCCTGAAAATTGTCAGATTTATTTCCTATTTAAATCAAATTAATTTTAATGAGTACCTAGGCTTGCTGCTAAAGGGAGGGTATTGAGGTGTGTTTTTATTTCAAATGTTGATAGCTTAGTATAAAATAAACAAAATTGCCAAATTTGATAAAAATACATCCATAAACAAGTAAGTGTGCATCAGTTTTTTATTCTCCATAAGAATAACATAAGAATTTTGTATTTAAAGTTTTTTAATTATCTCCGTAACCATTAGGCATATAACAACGCTTTAATATACTAAATTACTCCTTTTTTTAAGCTCTACAAATTGGTCTGGAAAGAAATGGTGAAATTTGTGTTTTTAGGGTCAAAAATGGGAAAAACCAATTTTTACCCCATAAAACCCCCAATTAACCCCCCTTCCCAAAGTCCGATCATGCTGGTTCGCGAACTAGTTCGAATAAACGTAGGTTTACACCATTAGTCCTACATATAAAACTCAACAGTAACCATCTATTACAATAATTATAACAACCAAGATTTTAGACTTTCATTAAAATCATATTTGCTGACACTTGCTTATAAAAAATGTATTGGCTTTCTTTTTGTAACTCCATTTTACTTTTGAAAGAAAACTTTAATTTATTATACTTAAAGAAGGTAATCCAATAGTTTCTTTGATTTGTATCCTAGACATAAATTAATATAAATATTGGCTGACAGTCCGCCCTAAGTGACTAATGTGACATTTACTTCCGTTAATTAAGCTGTACTCCTTTTCATAACAATAATTCCCTTTTCTACCGTTTTCCTTGCTTTTGATTAAAACTTATTTTTGGTTCAAGTTATAATAAAGGTATTGCACATTAAAAACAAATATCTGCCACCCTTATTGGTGATAAATATGCTATTACCTAAGGTTTCATATTCTTCCGGGGACCTGTATGCAAGTTTCTTTGGTTGCCTTATATTTCTATAAGCTAGGTGTAGATGAAAATGCAAAATTGAGCTATCCATCGTTTACTAACATAAAATGTGTATAAGAAGGCATCATCAAAT